GAAGAGTACACAACATTTTTGTATATTTTGACCCTTGTCAAAATATACAAAAATGTTGTGTACTTGACCCTTGTCAAAATATACAACAAAAGTCCTAAAATTAAACTAACTAACTAGGGATTCTATCTGAACCCTTGTTCAGATAGAATCCCTAGGAAGAAGTTGACGTTGGAGCGGTTCAATTGTAGCAGAAACATCAGTAGTTGTCGCTGGCTTTCGTTCTTGGTACATGGCGAGGCGTGGTAATTGTTGTTAGTAAAGCCGGAGCAAAATAAAAAACACTTACCTTAAGAAATAATGGCGCCTTGGCGACACGTAAACCCTACTTATTAACACACAAGGTACTAGTACATTTCATTTCACTGGTTAACTAACTTATTCTCCACTTAAAATTTAGCCCAAAATGTAGTATTTGCATTCGCAATTATTACGTATTAAAGTGAAAAATTTTAGGCAAGACGGTGAAAATCGATTTATACGGACGCCTCGCCACTGATGGCTACGACTTTCATTTTTGCACAGTAAGCATTAATTTATGTTGTCTACGGACTGATAACAATAGGTTTCCATAAATCACGCTAATTTAATTTACAACGATATTTACGCGGATTTGATATGGCGACTACATTACCGAAATGGAGACTCATAATCAAATGCTAGTTACGCGTAATTCCCGACGATAAGGTGAAAATGGCATTGATCTGTGTCTACGTTACTGTTTCAAGCACCGTTTGTATTAATTACTTGTCAAACTTTTAACAGTTTTGTTTTTACTATCAATCATATAAAGTGACGGAATATCAAGTCACAATCAAATGCTACGTACGCGTAATTGCGCTGTCCCCGACGATATCGCAAAGCCCATCCATTCTCTTTAATTTCACTAGCACCCTTGTCCTTCGAATTCGGAACGCAATAATACTCACGTTACTTCTCGGCGGCAAATGTATTGGTATTTCCGGAATATCTAATTAAGCTATTTCTTTTTTGACCCCAAAATAAAGACCACAAACTGGCGTATAAAACATATTACAACATGAGTTACGTAAGACAAATATCTTTAAACACATTGTTCATTCTCACGGTTACGTCATTGACATTATATTTACACAAATAAATAAGGATATACATTAATTAAACGCGAAAGTTGACGTTAGTTAATCAAGTCGTAAGTAAATACTAGGATGTTTATTATCTTAGCCTTTATTTCATTGAACTACAGAGTTTTTGACGATTCCGGTGACCACATTATTAATACCATGAGCGGTCGATGTGGGAGTGGACGAACGTTTTTGTACGGGTATTGAACATCAAAGACTTAAATATGAAATGATAAAAAGTTTTTATCTTTTTTGTTTATGTAGTATGGTTACGGCTTACTTAGCATTTTTTTACTAATTCATAATTCACCAACGTGCCTAATTCTTTTTTTGTCACCGCATGACATAAGTACCCTTTTTTTTTAATTTTTTTTGTATCGATTATTGCAAGTTTTACAAATAAAAAAATTAACACAGGGAGAAAAAAATTAAATGAAATGAAACTACATAACGTACAATAATTATTTAGAAAAACATGATAAAATAAACAAATAATAAAAGTTAAAACAATTAAAACCCGCTCACAAAACAAAAACTAACATATAGAACAAAAAAAAAAGACTAAGCCATCATATATGTATTTTACTGCACAATTTCAAGTGTTTGAGAAGTTCCGTACATTTGTAGGAAATTAACAATTTTTTTAAATATCAATCTTTACATTGCGCTTTAAATAAATAATTGTGATGCAATGATATAAACAAGAGAAATCAGTTTTTCATGTCCGTAGTAAAGAACTGTTTTAGCAAGCACACCGAAGATAATTGCTTTGTTCATGTTTTCGTTCAGTAAAATGATCTATCTCTTCATGTGCCCAGCGCAATGTGTACCAAAGCTGTACCAAAGTTAAATGTCATATTATTTGATTAATGGGCTTAGGGTCTGTTGTAGAGAATTCAAATACAGATGATACTCACGATTACAAACATTTCTATGTTTTACATTATTAACGTATATCCGGTTTGAACTGGCAAAACGGTCCACAGGGTCATTGATTTATGTATTTTTTGATAATAGGAATAATTTATTTTGAACGTGGTTACGTTATTTCTAGAAACTACGATCCTGTTTTAAACTAATAGATGCCTATGTAACGTTCTTAACATATTGGTATTGATTTACAAAAAAATACGTTCTGTAATGATTAGTTCACTTGGCGCGAATTACGGATTGATTGCAGTCTTGAGTAACCTAACCGCCAATTTTAGTTTTTTTTTAAGTAATCAGTTCCTTACTTTCTTTTTATTTAATTATATACTTAAGTAGAGATATAATTTAAAAAGAAATAGAAAACATCCGCAGACTTGTGAATATTTTATTTAGTAGCATTAAAACATTATAATGACTTGTACAAACGTCTATCAATCTATGCAAATCTTTCATTTGTACAGCTTCCTTAATTAAAGCAAATATTAGCATATTTTATGGCATAAATAACTGGTTGATAAGGCAATGTGCAACAGCAAAAATGACTGGCAAGAATTATTTGACAGCTTAAAAAACCCAGTGTCTTTTGGAGTACCTAATCAATAAGTGTGCGTTCATTAAATTTCATATTGATAAGTAATTACTTTCCAATTTCCATAACACACGTACTTTAGCTGTGTAAAAGCTGCAGTACGTTGTCTAATATTTGTATTTTTACCTTGAATAGCTCCAAATTGTTTATTGGGTGAAGCCCTTGTTTTTGCGTTGTATGAAAGGTTTTTATTGATGGATACTATATTCATTAGCGAATTAGTGCATTAAATGGCGCTTTATATTCACGATAAGTTTTGTAATATGAAATTAATTTGCAAACAAAGCCAACAGGGTAGGTAGGTACTTGCAAAACTGAGCTACAACGCAAACACTCCTTGTGTTCAGTGAGCAAATATTGGCTTGTCAGTAAATCTAACCATGATTGTTTAAACCACCCTTGGTGGCTCTTCTCATAAATAATAAGGTTCTTTTAAGAATTTTGTGAACTCCAACATTCAGGTTTCTTCACATCTCACATCAAATACCTATTTTTATTTCGTAAATTATCAAATTTCCTTGTGACAGAGTTCGTCTAGAGAAGTGCTGCCACCTTACCTATTTCTACCGCCAAGCCGTAATATGAGCATTATTGCGTTCTGGTTTTGAAGGATAAGAGTGCTGGTGAAATTACAGGCATGGGACTTATCAACATAAAACTCAGGACGCATTCAAATTAGCCGCTGTTAGACGCACTGCAGCATCGCTGCAGCCGCGCGGCGGTCGCACTGCAACTGCGCGGCGGCCGCGCGACTGTCGTGCTGAAGTGCGACCAAATTTTTAGTGACGTTTTATCTTTCGACTCAGTTACACGATGGATTCTGACGAAGAAACGTTACTTTTAGTTATTTTGTTAAAACTGAAGAAAAATAAAATTAAAAAGAATACCAGAACGTATTAGAATCCGTCCGTTACCTTCATTTTGTCAAAATAAACAAAATGAATACTACAAGGTTCGGTAATATAGTTAGGGGGTCAGAGTTCTTGGGGCACACACTTCACGCATAGGTATTAAAAAATGACTCACCGGCTATGTTTTTTGCATTTGTAGTTTTAATTTCAAAATTGTCAATAAATTTTAGATATAAATTTTTCCATGCTTTTTTTTCCAATCGATTAGAATAACTGGCGGACCTGATATCCCATATTGCAGGGTGTTGTTTTGCATTCTCTATAAATTCTTCAACTAGATTTTCGTTTATCGTAGTTAATTTGATAAATTAACATGTGACTGCAACCGAGCGTGACTGCAGCGCGACTGTCGCGCGGCCGCCGCGCGGTTGCAGCGCTTCTAGACATTATATGAAAAGTGACAATCGCGCGGCTGTCGAGCGGCCGCCGCGCGGCTAACAGCGGCTAATTTGAACGCGCCCTCAGAGTGAAAAGCGAAATGGCGGTGCCCCTGAGATCTTTACAATATAAAACTCAGAGTGGCATTGCAACTGCTATGGACAGGCGTGTCGCCTACCATCAGGCGCACTTGTTCCTCCCGTTACGTATTACCAATATATTTGTAACGTTGAAATCGCAGTTCTCTAAGTGGAGCGGACTATTTGTTTTTTTTTTGTGTTATTATTGTTTTTAACATCGATTGGTAATTGAACAAGTATTTTACAGTACTGACATTCAGGAAGAGTGTTGTTTTAAATCGAAATTGTGACGTGAATAACGTTAATAATTGAAGTTCAATCATACCTTATTTCTTTCTGATGCCTACACCGGTTTAGTCGATACGTTTTGGATCACTCTGTGCAACCTAACAAAAAAATTAGAACTAATGAGTTTAAAAAAAGATTTATCAAGTATTAAAAACAATAGAATGTCAATTTTACAACAAATGTCTAATATTGTAGAATGTCATAAATCATTAAGGTAATTAAAATAAATAACTTTGAATTCTGTAAACTTAAAACTTAAATTACGTAGGATTATTGCAATTTCTAATTTCACTCGAAAGTTTATGTAGATCTTGGAAGCCATTACAACTACATTCTCTCCAAACAGTATATGTATATGGTCTACTTTGCAGTTGTATATAACGGCGTATCCAGAGTACAGTGTTATACCAATATCATACGACTATTTTTAAAATAGACTGCGTCAAAATATACCTCACTTAGGCCTAATCTGTGTCAACGACGTTATTAATAAATATCACTGCTATATAGCACTACAGTGCACGTCAACGTACGATCATTTGAGAGCCATAGTTTCCACTTATCTTACTCGAGATCGCTCTTAACACCTAATTAATCCAATGTAGACCCTCGGTCACTTGAGATGATATCATTGAAGACGCTGATGGTATAGTCTATGATATCTTAGTCGATACTCACTTAAAACCGGACCTAGGAATTTTTATGTTTTTTTTTTAAATTACAGATTAGAAATTCTAAAAGCAGATTCATCTCTCAAGAGCAAGGCTAAACGCAATGAATGGACATGGAAAGCACAGACGGACGTAGTAAAATGGCAGGCGACAGCGTTGCGCGCGCCACTGTTGCGCTTACCACCTGCGCTTGCGCCGCCTGCATTGGAGTGCTTCACCTGCATACGCGCGTACTGCGGCGACCTCTCGCCGCAGGAACGATCCATGCACCAAGATCTTACTGAAGTTAAATGCGTTTACACTGTACTTATGGTGAGTTAGATCTTTCTTTAATCATACGTATTTTTAGAGTAAATGTACAGCTTCGGCACGTTTCGTTTGGGAAAATTTCGCATCAAATCGATATTTTTAATGAGAATTTACATGTTAATAGCAGTAGAACTCTTTGTGAAAGATCTCGTCCAGGGAAGTTAGACTGCCACATTACCTATTTCTACCGCCAAGCAGTAATGGTCACGAAGTAAATTCCGGTTGCGAAGGGTAAGGGTGCTGATTAAATTACAGGCACATGGGACTTGTCAACTTATGTCTCAGGGTGACGGGCGCAGTGGCTCAGATCTTTGAGATTTAAAACTCTTAAGTGACACTGCAACTGCTGCAAAGGGGCACGACTTGTTCGTCCCGTCACTTGGTATTAAAAATATAAAAAAAAACATTCATCTAGACGTTTTCTTAAAGCTATTGACATTGGCTATTGACAGCTACCTATATAGCCATGTTTACATTGCAGCATTGCCACTCAGTTCCGGAGCTGCGTGATGAAGTATACTGCCAGCTGATGAAGCAAACGACGTCGAACCGGTCACCAGCGCCCGACTCGTGTCAACGCGCATGGCGGCTCATGTCTATCCTCGCCGCCTACTTCAGCTGCTCCAACACGCTCAGGTACTTACCACCTAAAGTTCGATTATAGGCGGAGCATCAATAAAACTAAATAAAAATATCCTTAGAGAGAAACCAAATCTTTCGTCGTCATATAAATCCTTGCAAAATAAAAATAATATTACACAAATTAAACATAAATTTAATAAACAAAGTTAATTATCGTTGCCAATTTAATGTCAATAAAAAAAACGACCTCAAAAGTACGTGGAATTACGTCTATTTGCTAAGTTTTATGGAAATATAGTTCGCCACTATACAGGACTTGACACCGGAGATAATAAAAATCGGTTCTCACTACTCAAAGTATATTGAGAGAAAAACGCCTTGAATTGGAGATATAGCACAATCAACCATTAAAGTAATTGCTCCTAAATTAAAGTTAGGCGCTTATTTTAAAAATGAATCTTCATGCGTGAGCAGCCACCCTTCGAGGTGGATGATTTTGTTCAAAATGAAATGGGACCACTATGGAAGTGGGGGTATTTCCATAGTGGTCCCAACAAAAACAATGTGGTTGCAACAAAAAAAGAATCATGAAAATCGGTTCACAAATACCGGAATTATCGCGTAACATACATACATAAAAAACATACAGTCGAATTGAGAACCTCCTCCTTTTTTGAAGTCGGTTTAAAAAAAATCATAAAACCTTATCAAAATAAAGTATAATATGCACGAAATTCGAAACAATACACAATTTTAGTGTCATACGAGTATTTCTCATTTTCATATTTGTTAATAAGACTAAATATATTTTATGTTGCAGGCCATTCCTCGTGGAATACCTCTCTGCAGCGGCGGCGGACAGGCGGCGGCCGTGTCAGGGCACCGCGGCCGTGTGTCTCGCGAACCTCAGAAAGACGCTGCGGTGCGGCGGCCGGAAGAACGTCCCCAGCGTCGAAGAGGTACGTGTTCAATGTTTGATTCATTGCCAAAGCTTTTAACAATAATTGGACGAATAATAAAATTAGTTCGCCGTTTTCCAATGTCAGATAAGGAACAATAAAATTAAAAAAAAAACACCGTAGAACGGTGTGAATTAGAATTTTGTATGTCTCGAAAATAGGCTGTGCAAATTAAAATTTTGAACATAATTTAAAAAACATCGAGTTGCGCACGCAGTCGAAATTCACTAAAACCGTTGGCGCGAATCATTATTTTTCTGTCATTCGTATTTTCTTCGCGGCATTTTCTTGTAATTTAAAACATTTACCATGAAAGTTGCTAAAAAGACGGAAAAACCTAAGTTCATCTCAAAAGATTTAGGCGATTTCATAAACGAATCGCAGTTTTTGAAAAATTCGCCTCAAAATAAAAAAACTCAAAAACGGCAGCCGAAATCTGACAATACCGACGAAGAAGACCTTTCAAAGCTTATTGGAGAATATCAGCAAGCCAAGAAGAAGAAACTTGATAAAACCAGTGATAAACATAAAGAATCGAGGCAGAAATTACTGGAAGCTATGGAGCGGCAAACGGAAGCTAGGTAAGTATTTTTTATGTGGGCAAACATATATCTATACAAATAGGTACATTAATTGTTTTCAAATGCATAAACTTTTATTTTTTTTTGTTTGAATGTTAGGTTTTTAACATTTTAATTAATTAATTTTATTCGCAAAATTTTAAATAATAACTTCTTTATATAGGAAACGTGGCACAGACAACCTTCTGTCCAGCCTATCCGAATTAATTCAACAGCAAGAGGCCGATTACAATATACTAGCTGAGAACGAGAAGAAATTGGAACATCTGGTTGGGGCGTTTTTGAAATGCATCCAACAGTCGACAGCTGCAGCTAGAGACAATGCAAAGGCATTGAGGGACATTTTTGATGCTTTTAAGAAAGAGTTAGTTATATTCTGAATTTAATTGCATTGCATTTTTTTTACTACAATAGTAATATAAGCTCAAGTGACATAGAGTAATGGCAAAACCTTCAGAGAACAATAAATAATGTTGTATATTCCTAAACTGTTTTTATACTTTTCCAGCTCCGACGAAATGGAGTCAAAGCACAAAATCGAAACTGAGAAACTAGCCGACCAGCTGGAGGAAGACATGAACAAGCTTCAGCAAAAATTAGTCTCCGAGACTAAGCGCAAGCAGCTCGAGAATCTTCGTAAAACAATCTTTCATGCCATGCAAAATGATTTTTAATATGATTTTAATAAAGAATTGTAAAAAATAAGAAAGGCACATTGCACTTTAATATTGCTAATTAATGTATAAGTTTTTCTGTGAAATTGTTTTCCTATTACAAACAATATAAAGCGACTTCGTAATAATTTCTTTGTTTTATTGTATAACATATTACTGTGTATGTATCCAGATATGAGAACACCTATAACATCAGATCAATGCAATGCATTTGCAGTCACAACGAAACGGTCCATTATAACGTGGCCTCTGACAAATGCTCATGTATATAAAATAATATTCACAACATTTAATTATAAAACTTTTTTATGCATGAAAATAGCATCCAAACATGTACTTAATATCATTTAAAGCAATATTGTAGAATCTCATTTCATGCCATACTACTATCCTAACTTTTTAGGTTCCACAATTCCTCATAAAACTAACTTCTTGTTGTTGTGTGGTATGAAGGTCACGGCAGTGTCTGCGGGTCGGTCGGCGCGGCGGCAGCTATATCGGCTGCCAGGCGGCGCCGAGCGCGTCGTTAACACAAGATGCGCCACCGTCGTCAACGATATCGTTAGCGAGCTCTGCGAATTGGTATGTAGAGCTTCATATTCACCTAGCCAAGAGTCTAGATCATAGTTTCCCAAAGTGGTCGCTACAGTGGGCGCTGAAGAGTCCTAGGTAGGAGTCTCGGAAGCAGTTGATGCTATTCAAGGGGTTAAAAACCAGAATTATCTATATAAACTACACTACATATATATCTTTTTTTTTCTTTTCGTATTAAGTTAATATGAAAAATACGTGGTTTCAATTATTTTTTATGGTGGTGGGCGTTGAAATTTTTTTATCTTGCCTAAGTGGGTGGTGAGCCTAAAACTTTGGGAACCTATTGTCTTATAGCGACGCAATCTGATATGTGACAACCTGTGTGAGTTATGTGAAAAATTTGCATTTTACATACAAGCATATCTGCTCTTTTTTTCTGTTTCTGGGTCATCAAAATAAATCTTCACAAGCCAGTGCGCAAAAGAGAGAGTAAAAATGCTAAAACACACATAGACAGACACGATAAAACAAAGAGGTTCCTGGTTAAACCAGGGAACCCAAAGAATTAATATTGTATAGCTTATCGCATAAATTAGCTTTAATTTCATAAAGTTCTTAATATTCATCTTGGACAATAGAATTAAATAATTTTCCAGACATCAATCCATCAATTACCTAGTCTCAAAATAAGGAATTCCCTTTACCAAAGCAACGAAATTAAGTACGGAGTACAACCAGAAGACGCAATAATTGATCACAAAAAATTTCGTTTCTCAAGTTGGTTCTACTGGAAATTGAACCCAGGGCTAAGCATTCGTCATCGAAATTGTCTTGGCAACAGTACTAATGCACTCGTCATTTCCATAGATCGGTGTAACGAGCGAAGCAGAGCGCGCGGAGTTCTCCCTGTACTGCATCGTGGCGGGCGACGCGCTGACGATGCCGCTGGCGGGCGACGAATACGTGCTGGACGTGACCACGGAGCTGCAACGCGCACATCATCCCTTCTACCTCATATTCTGCCGCTCGGTGTGGCACCACCCGCTCCGGCCCGACGCGCCTCCTTTGTACACGGAGGTGCTGTTCAATCAGGTGAGACACATGACATAAATGTCGTACGTGCTTTAAAAAAATTAAATGATTGCATTTTTGGTAATGAGAATACAATTTTGAAATTTATTTACATTTTTTTTTTTGTAATATTTGTTTTTTTTCATTCTTTTCCAAAAATGTTTCTTTCGTATTGATTTTTGAATTTTTGCTTTAGGAGAAAAAATACTTCGACAGTTTATAATACCTATTTATAACTACTGATTTCATAATTAAACTTGAAAGATTACAAACATTCCCTTGTGTGTGCTACTACCAGGTCGCTCCAGACTACCTAGAAGGTCTCCTACTGGTCCTCCCCGGCGGAGCGGCCCCTCCGGCGCCGGCCCTGCGCGACGCGGCCCTGGTGGCGGCCCTTCTGCACCGCGCGGCCGGTCTGCCCGACGCCCCACATCCCAGGGACCTGAAATTCCTGCTGCCAAAACCACTACTGGCTTTGAGAGAGCCCCGCCCTAACAAGTGGGCCTCTTGGGTCGCACAGGAATGGCCCGCTGCTAGGACGTTAACACCCGCTGCTGCCAAATCTAAAGTATTGCAGGTTAGTATTCTAACTATAAATTTGTACATTACACTAATTACGAAGGCTGCGGCCGGAGGACTTAAAAAAAACCAAAAAGATT